TGCAATACAAGTGCTAACACTGCTGCATGTTTACTGTTTACTGCAATACAAGTGCTAACACTGCTCTATGTTTGCTATTTACTGCAACTCAATTGCTAACACTGCTCTATGTTTGCCTTTTAGGTGGGTTCATATGCCATTTTTCACTACTGTTGTTAAAGGATGCTTTGTTAGGATAGGAATTGGTACAAATGATGGTAGACCAGTTTACAGGGTAAGTTGTATTTTGAGTTTACATGTTGGGTGTCAAAATCACATTGCAGAACCATATTTTATATGTTCTCAATAAAATAAATTAGAGCTTATACAATATAACCGTGGTTGTCATTGGTGTGATCTTTTTCAAGCGTGCTTATAAATTAACAATCTGTAAATGTTGTATGGTGTGTTTCAGGTTGCTGAAATTACGGATGTTGTTGAGACTGCTAAGATCTATCAGCTAGGTAGTACCAAAACAAATAAAGGTCTCAGATTAAGGTAAGGTAGCCACATACCATGGTGACACTATTCTTTATATACTAATGTTGAATATCAGAGAGCCTTTGTATTACAAAATAAAGCTCTTCAGACACATATTTAAAAAAAAGGATATTGGATACTCATTTTATTATCCAAACATCTGACAAATGGCTAACAGGCTTGTTCGAGAGTATTCATCATGAGTTTGACTTCTACTTTTTGGATAATCAGAATGCATGAGGTTCTATATTTTTCTATATTTATAGAATACATTTTCATTGTTAATTTAAATGTTGGACAAGATTCAAGAACAATCTAAAAGTTTATGAGAAGGCATGTTTTATAATGATTGTCAATTACTGGTTTATTCAAATGAAAGTGTTAATCCAGGTTGTTATAGTGACTATGTGCTTTGGAAGTAGACAATTGTTTACGTAAGATGTTAGCAAGTGGAATTATTTAAAAAAAAATATTTCTATGAAGTGTAAGATTTTGAAAACCACGGGCAGCCATAACTACAAATGCATGTTTGATTTGTGGATAATACTAGCCCATGATGTCGCACATATCAACCTGCTCTACAAACGAGTGATATCAGGTGATAAACTAGTAGTATAATATTGAGTCATCTCTTCTTTTTTTGTTTATATCCACATAGACATGGAACACAGGAAAGAGTCTTTAGGCTGGAATTTGTATCAAACCAGGAGTTCTCAGAACACGAGTTTTTTAAATGGAAAGAAGAGGTTTGTGTTATTTGTTATTTGCATTGGTGAAATATATAGTCTATATCTGTGGATAATGTAATGTATGATATGTAATGTATCACTGACGTACTAGGGATAAAATGTCTGTTTAAAGTTGTATTTTCGAGATATATTTTGTTTGTAGCCTTTAATGAATTAGTATGTGTCGTATACCAACTGTAACAATTACACTATTTGCAAGATATTCTGTGACATTTTGGTAGATTTGATTGTGATTGAGTTTTCTGCGGCTTGGAGTCCACTGAATCGTAAAGCAGCAATAGCTACATTTTTGTTTAAATATTACCACATGAAGAGGATCAAACCTTACCGAAATATTGTCACAATATTTAGACACAATTACATGGGCAAAGGGACCCTTCTCAACGCTAAGGGTTGAAATAGGTCATGTGATCATGTGATGGGGATTGTAGAAAATTATGATGCACAAAACAGTGGGAGGCTGTGATGTGATGTACATGTATCACCCACGTGATGTACATGTATCACCCACGTGATGTACATGTATCACACACGTGATGTACATGTATCACCGAAAACTGAATTTCAACGAGGATGCAACTCTATGGTTGTTTTTATGATGTATTATGCTATGCTATGGTTTCGATGATGGCTGTTACATACTGACAGATCGTTTTCAAACATTCCCAAATCACGAGAGTTTACTTCTCATTTGCATATCATTGTACATGATTATGGAAGTTGCATACCTTAATCTTTATCCTTGATGACACCTTATATTTGCTTGCAATGTTTTCATACTTCCTAGTCTTAGGCTAGTTGTGCTGTGCTGTGTTGTGTTGAACATAATCTGGAGCAGGATTCAAAACAGTTTTGTCTTGTTTCAGGATAAATAGCCAATGAGTGACAAGTTTCAACTTGTGAATGCCATAACTATCGATTTTGGTTCGTGACTCAATGTTACCACTAATTTTAGCAGATTATACAACTTTAATCTACAATTTGCATTATTTGTCATTAAAATCTTAAATATTATTTGTTATCATCAGCTAATGTTAAACGGTCTTCAGTTACCAACAAAAGAAGAAATTGAGGATAAATACCGAGAAATACAAAGTGCATTGAAATACAACTTCAATGAAGATGATGTTGATAAGGTTAGTCCACTGATCCCTAGTATTTGGAAACATTGTAGATATACTATGATGCAGAATAGTCTCATCGTGCAGAGTGATTTTCACATAATTATGTTTGTATGGATTGATATATGGGCTCTACCTATTTCATGAATAAAAATTGTAATGGTCATGTGTCTTTTTCGCCATGTTTTTTTCCCAGAAAAATAGAATGCATTGATCTGAAAATTTATTTAACCTCTATGTATAATGTTATAATGGTTTGGCTACCATCTTTGAACAGAAAGTAGTTTTTTTTACAGATGCCACATTCATATGATTATTTTGAAATTTGGCATTTTGCATTTCCATGCCGAACGCCTGCAGACAGCAGTAATGTGATTTTGCCACCATATTGGATTTCTTATTAGAATTTTTTTTTTTTTCATCACTGTTTTAACAGATCAACTTGATATTTTACCTACAGCATGTATGACCAATGCTTATTATGGGAAAAATAACAAATGTTATCCGCTGTCTTGTATTTCTAAAAAATGGCCATAAAGTGGAGCATTTTGTGTCTCATGAATGCTTTAAATGACCAGCTTGTTATTTTGCATGTAGCATGTATGACCAAAGTTTATTCTGTGAAAAATACCAACTTGATATATTGAAGAATCAATGAATTTAAAACTTGCTGAATATCACATACCTTCCAGTCTACATCAATGCTGTTGTCAATCTTACCCAGATAGTTTGGTAAACATTTGGGATTTCATCAAAACCAAAGTACTAAATATTTTGAATTTTCAAAAACATGCAAGTATTGCATTTCTCGTATTTGCAGTGGTCAAGGAAGGCAGTCTGAACTGAATATCATACTAACACTGACATATAGGCTACTGATTTCATGAATCAATGCTATATATTAGGAAATATTCTGTCAGCCTCGGTCCTGACAAACTTGCTCTGCAGTCTAAATAACATTTATTATTTATAGATGGTGCAAGAAAAAAAGAAGTTCCGAAAGAATCCCAGAAACTACGCCATGAAGAAAACAGATTTGATGAAACGAAGGGTGAGTTAATAATTGAGCACTTATGTGTACATTACACCCATCTTTGTTCATCAAACATGAAATGATCTGGACTGGACTTCTGACACTTGGAATATTGTTTGTATTCTTAGGATGAAGCTGATCAACAAGGGGATGTGGAACAAGTCAAGATGTATGCCAAAGAGTTAGAAGATTTGGAAGAAAGAGCTGAAGAGTTGGACAAACAGAGAACGAAGAATATCAGTGCCATCAGGTAAGTACCTCAGTAAGCAGTATCAGAGAAAAAAGAACAGTATTAGAGCCAGGAGAGAACACTTAGTTATTAGTAAGTAGTTGACCTTACAAGACTGGATGGGAATAGTAGAAACCTGGATAATGTGGGTTCACAATTGGTACCTTTGTTATCATGTGACCATGTTTATTATTTCAGTTATATAAATCAGAGAAATAGACAGAAAAACATAAAGGATGCCGAAATAGCTATGGCAGAGGAAATTAAAGAACTCGTCAATGCTAAAGACGATCCATTTACAAGAAGAAAATCAAAGCCACAACCACTAGTGACAAGGGTAAGAACATTTCAAATCAATTGTTTTATGGCCTTCGGCTAGTCACTGAAATAATTAAACATATAATTTCATCTATTCCTTCTCACTTTTTTAAACAGTGTAATTGACATGTATAGATGGTATACCCATTTTCCCTTCTGTGTATCTGGCTTTTTAGAAAATAATTAATACTGCATTGTTGTACATGTACCGGATTCGGCTGATACCCCCCCCCCCCCATCCTAAAGCCCGCCCATGGGTGATGTTTCAAATAGTGGGCGATGTTTTGGTCCACACATTGCCTGACTGAACCAACAAACATTTTTACAGACCCAATTTTCCTGTCAGACACCTTGTATCGAGCGCGCTATTTCAAATATGACGCTAAAAATAATTCACTGTGAAGTCGAAAAGCATAAAACTCCAATAAAACCAATGCTGTATACGAATTGTTGTTGCGTATTATTACTCGTTAAAATACATTTCACTTACGTTTATTAGACTCGAATAAAGTCTACGCTTGAAAAGAATGTTATTTACGAAGTTTAAAATAGCCAAGCCTTCCTTATTCGAGCCTCTTGGTTGTTATCAGTAATGTTTAATCTTTGTCTGTATCGCATTCCAGACAAAAAGTTCAAGATCGGTAAACA